CTGCATCGATCCTAAATATATTATATAAGAGTTGTACACTACTTCAACATCTTATCTACTGGGATCCTTCAGCTGACGTGAGCATAAGACTCACTTAGTCAGAGGTGATGTTCAACTCCACCGACGAAGTATATCTATTTTAAAGGATATTACCTATATTTTCTAATGAAGAGCGCAAACAAAATCGCAACGATCTAGTTGGTGTGTTGCAAAATTTACAAATCTGTGGAGTACACTAGCAGTGGAAGCTTATTCTTACTGTAAGTAGTCCTCGTCAATATTCGACAGGAAGCATTTACGAGTTGTTGCTTGGACTGCAAAAAAACCAACAGTAACTCGAATGAAAATCCAGAGGTTCCCCGTATAAACATGGCATAATATTTATATTCGTCGAGTAAGCTACTCTAAGTTCATCAATTATCCATTTGCTGTCGGCTATACGCTAGATTGCATAATATATATCGACGATCTCGTGTGCTTCAAGTCCTCCGAAAGACCCTCTCACGATCTCAAAGCCCGAATGCCGAAAATATTGCCGCAATTCGGACTTACGACGCTTTGTAATACCTATTAAATAAGCCAGTGCTGTCTTCGGACTTGAAATGCATCCCCTTCACTGTACTAATTCTTTGTGAGTGCCCCGGATAGAAAACCTAACCTCTTCTAGGAAAGATGCGGTTTTCCACGTCAGATTCGCCAAAAATACATTCCACATTTGCTCTTACTTATGGGCCGCCCAGGATCACGAGTTTGATAGGCAAACTGGCGCATAATCGCGAAAGCCCCGTCATCACAGCCACAGCATAGAAACTGTTCTACAACATTACCGCAATCAAAAAGGACAGTTTTATAATATGGGAAATGGGTTTATCTCCCGAAAGCCATTTGGACGTTCACAGCGATAAACAGTACGCTTCTGTAGCATGAAGAAGTCAGTAGTGTACAGGTGAGGTTTATATTTGGATGTTTTATGCACATAAATAGCCCAAAATCTAAAGTCGACTGATACCAGATCTTCTTGGAGCAAGTGCTGTGCCTACAGTTTACTGACGATACGAGGCCCAGAGAGCACAGTAAACAATCTAGTTGACGCCAACAAGGGTACTTACATCCCTTGTCAGTCACCCATCGACGAGTCCATTGGCATTTCTGCGATGCGTTTACAGACAGTAGACGACATGCTAACGCTAGATGAGGCCTTGGCTTTCATCGCGTTCTGTGATGATGAGATCCGTGACCCCATGCCAAAAGAAAGTATGCAAGGACTGTGTTCATCTTTCATGCTGGACGACATTGACGATCTGCTGGACCCAGTAGTCCAAGGAATGATCTCCGTGGAGTCAGGAAATACCCCGTCGCCGAAGCCCATCTCGAGTCTACCCCAGCTATTAACAGTATCGCCTACAAGACCGAGAAAACGAATTCGGAGTGTGATGAGCTCCTCAACTGTTCTACAACGACGAAAAAAAGCTGAAATCAAGAGGCTGCGTCAAGAATCAAAAATTCTGGAAATGTATCTTGCTCAAATTAGCAAAAGTACAGGGCAACACAAACCTTCAGCTATAACGAAGGGCGATGAATTGCGATCGGAATGGCATCATCACGCTTTCACTCAATATCAGCAACGGCATGGGTCTGAACAAACCAATCGAAACCACTGGACAAGCAAATAAGGGTCTCTAAGAAGCTACAACGCGTTCTTCTCAAGCGGAACGCGCTCGACGTGAGTATTTGTGGCAGTGATATTGCTGTGTTTGATACGCCTAATCAAATTGTGCTACTGCAAAGGGAATGGAATATGTGCGAACACTGGGGTCGCCCATTTTTGAAGGAGCTCATTTCGATGAGTTGATGAGTGATCTGGAAGGTGAAGTAGACGTTACCTATGCCAATTTTCATCGAATGTGTTTACCGCTTCAAGACACTATGCTCTACGGCAATTCTGAATTGTCGTATGGTGAAAGGTGTAAGGCCAATGGCATGGAATTTACGACCACGACGCCTTTGAGCTGGCCCATGACATCTGCATTCACACATGTGTGGAATATGCTCGAGAGCAGTTTGGTAGGTAGCTGGTCAACCTTCATGAGCATTAGAACCAAGCGAGGTATGACCATATTGTGGTGGTGTACAAACTTTAGGATCGAAGTCGCAATCCCAACACACTGGAGAGAAGGGTCAATCTTACGATTCCAATCCCCAATGGTACATCCTGCCATTTCCACAAGCTTCACTTCCTGCGCAAATTCGAGGAGAATGACCGGGTCATAATCATTTGGTCCGATCTCATGCAGATGACGACAAGGAATGTCAGGTTACGCTCGCTCGCCTATGCTGTCTTCACTCCATCCAAGATTGATCCATCACAAGCGTGTATTATGTACACATTTCTTAAGCTATATGTGGAACCAACCAGCTACGAAAGTGTGTCGCGCGACGACATACGATATGCGCATGAAGTCGTCATGAGTGCTTTTGGTAGACTCATGCGAACGTTCTGGCAAAACCACCAGAATCGATTGCTCGAGGTAACGTCTCGTCCAGATACGTACTAAACGTAGAGCGCCCAATCGTAGTATAAAGATCACTGAATCGTTCTTTGCTGTTGCTGTGTGATTTATTTACCATCGAAGCATCTCTAGAAGCTACATACGTCGTCATTTACATGACCTTATATTCACGCACGTTGTCCCTTCATGACGATACATCATCAGTAATGAGAGGCACAACGGTTTATATGTCCTCCAGGCGGGACGAAATGTAAAATGTTGTGCCCTGCCTTGCATTTCCCACTTGATAGTTTCCTTTCTGAACAGAAGAACAACAATAACCAACGTCGTGAATGCGTGCAAGCGTAGTTCTACTTGGAGCTGCACTTCTTTCGATCTCGGGGGTTGCGGTAGGAGCTACCGTGAATATTGATTTGCCCAGTATCAACAGGTCTCTACGTCACCATAAGCCAGACGAAGAGAGGTTCTCGGTTATGGAGAAGGTATTCGGCCGAAGTAAAAAAAATCGAGAAAATGCTGATCGACGATCTGGGCCAACTGGACAAATACTCGACAAAACAATTATCTCTAAGCTGAAGAACACGCACTACAAGGTAGAACTTCTGAATTATCTCAATCAACGGTCAGTAATAATTCCCAAGGCAGGTCGATCTACTTGATTGAATGATGCAACGTTGTGCATGCAAGTTGTCCCGTAGTTAGCCTGCACCACCAACTTTACTTCCCGAGATCAACACTAGTCGCTAAACACCGTCAAAATGTACTGAGGCTAACATGTTTCCTCTTTGTGTCTTTTCCTCTGCTTTTACTACTCCGTCTGTTGTAGTCTATGATTTAGGACTTTTTCATATCTCGTAAGGTTATGGATAGCTTTTTTAGTGTACGCATCTAATCTGAGTTACTAAACCATTTGTTGCTGGGAAGTATTGTAGAGGAATTAGAAGAGCGGAGGATGCCACACAGGTATATAGATATAAGATGAAGAGTTAATATAACACTTGAGTTCTTCATTTGTAAATGAGAAGTGTCATTTTGTTAGGCTAAAGCAAAAGCGCTTCTATTACTGGATTTCAGACGGATTATAGGACGCTGTGCGAAATTGAAGCGTGCTACTATAATCGTCTGGTTTAATCCACGCTATGTGATTATTCCTAAATCCTGCAACTATGGACTCAGCCCGAAAACTAATTGGAAGCACGGATGAATGCAAGCAAGTTGTCGAATTTGAGGAGCGACAATACCATTATGACGCAAGTCAATCCTACACTATTGCAGAGAGTGATGCCCGCCCAATAATTGATAAAAGTGTTTCTTCTACTAACTTGGCATCCGCTACTGATCTCGGGGAGATTCTAGTTTACTATTATCGTCGATTGATTGGGGATGTGTTTGGTTGTATTCGTAATGCATTGTACCCAATACGCCGACAAAAGACACTCCGTAATGGAAATTCTACTCGAATGCTTGAACCATAGTTGCGTTTCAAATTCTCGATATATATGCAGCCGTACCTGGCCCCTTACCAGTCGATCCGATGTTCGCAAGAGACATATATCCCGACTAAGTAACGCCACAATCGACAATTCCGTCTTCAGGACTTTCACGACCATGAATGGAGATGTAGTATTACCACAAAAGGTGTACTTCCTCTGTGCTGAAAAATTATTAGCAGTTGAATTTGTGCCGCCGTTACACACTCAATACTAACTCAATGTCTACGAATCAGAGTGCATATTAACCACTGTTGTCTGTGCTATTGGATGATATGCATTTTGCGTCCTAACCATCCAAATTGCGGTCACAACAGCCATTTAAAGCCTCCCCAAAAAGCAGTGCCTCGCCAAAACACCCGCCACACTTTCAATTCAGCGCCTACGGCGTTCAAACAATGGGTAGACGAAAGGTGGATGAAACGACGCGCTATGCAATCTTACACGAGCTCCTAAAGCGCCGTATTGACGGAGTTCTCCAGTACGGCTTGAAGACCTCCGTGGCGAAGCACTTCGACGTACACAGGGACACTGTGGCTGCTATTTGGAGCAAATACGAGGAGTCCGTAGCTGCAGGCAATATTGCTGGAGATATGCAGATACAAGGGCAGATCGGGTCGGAAGGGGTACAACAAGCAGGAGCTTGGGGCTAAAATCGCGGCCGTACCTGCCGAACGCCGCTCCACTATTCGCTCTACTGCATCCTGTGTAGGCGTCTCCTTCGGTGTCATTCAGCCCCTGCTTGCGAGCCACGGCTTAGTCGCCAAGACCACCACAATTAAGCCAATCCTCAAGACCACGCACCGCCAACGCCGGATGCAGTACGCCATGTCCTTCCTGGACGACAAGCCAGACGTCCACAGGGACAAAATTGGCCATCGATTTGACCCCATGCTCAATACTGTCCACGTGGACGAGAAGTGGTTTAACCACGACAAGAAGACAGGGTGGTACTATCTTCTTTCCGGCGAGGATCCCCCCGAGAGACACCGTCACAGCGCCCGCCATATCGAGAAGACCATGTTTTGGCCGCGGTTGCTCGACCAAGGTATACCTGTCAGTTTTGATACGTTAATAATTTTTTCGTACGCTTTGCAGATGGGACCCACATAGAAAAACGAACTTTGATGGGAAGCTGGGATTATGGTCGTTTGCTGAGGGGCACTTCCCACAGCGTAGGAGCCAATACCGCCCAAAAGGCACCATCTTACAGGGTAACATCGAGTCCGTTGATACGGCAGTGTATAAGCATTTCCTACTAACCTGTGTGTTTTCAGCAATCCGAGAAAGTGGCCAATATGTCACAGGGGGAAGATTATTTACGAGCAACAAGATAATGCCTCCCCTCACGTACTACCTGACGACGAGGATGTAGTTCGAGAAGGACAACGAGAGGGCTGGGACATCCGTCTTATTTTTCAGCCTTCTAACTCGTCCGATTTCAATGTGTTGGATTTAGGGTACTCGGCTATCCAGAATCTACAGTACCAAACGTATGTTGCGAGTACGCTAGAGCCTATTGAGGTCGTGCAGAATTTATTTCGTATTCTAGACAAGGTCACGTTGGACAATATTTTTCTGACTTTGCAACAAGTCATGGTATGTGTACTTGCCTGTGATGGAGACAACGAATACAAACTTCCTCATATGGGAAAGGCTAAACAACGCCGCAATGGCACTCTGAAGCAATGTGTTGTGTGTTCTAGCGAAGTGTACGCCAGCGCTTTTTCCAAGCTAAGGTTAGAGACTTTTTAGTAAAGTTTATTACCTTCGCGATCTAATAATGGTCTTGTCAGCATTCACTCTTCAACCAGTCGACATTCATTCTTAACTGCTGATATTTTTTTCAGCACAGAGGAAGTAAGAGATATCCCCAATCAATGTTTCGATCAAGTTGAAGGGAAAGCGACACATAACTCACGAAGATTGCGTGGCAGTAGAACAGCAGCATAAAGCAGATGAGAAACTCACAGTACATGGGATCAAGATGTATGGCGTCCAAGAAGATCGGAGACAACACGAGAATTTTGAAGCGAGCTCAGTTAAGGAAATCCTCAAGGCTGTATAAAATGAGGATTTAAGGTATTGGGAAATGAACGCAAGATTGAAACGCAACGGAACGTTATCAACTTCATCGCGCGAGAGGCAAGGCGAAATGCAGCAATGAAACTACAGCGAGCTCAACCATCAAAGATATTACCTGATAAAGAAGAACAGCGAGAAACGTGAGTCTGCAAAGGAACTCAATCGGTGCGATATCAACGCCACAAACGTTGCCCAGGTCCGAACACAATAACATTTGCTGGCATTTAGACATTGCTCAGTTATTACGGCACCAAATGGCTCTGGAAAGCCATCGGAAAAGTTAGCCAATTTGATTAGATTCAAAAATGGAGTATTTATTTCGTATATGTGAGCTTTTTAGAGGTCTGTGTCTTCATGATACGGACTATTACGTTGCAGCCGAGCTATAAACCTATAACAATGAGGTCAAGCTTGTTTGTGATACAAGTACAGCTTTATATATAATTTGGGTTATGCTTACAAACACTGTAAGAGTATCTAGCAAAATCTTTCCCATAACGTTTACTGCGCTGGCTTCGTTGATTTGATGATGCTGGTCTGATCCAGGGCGCTTACCGTAAGCTCTCTTTGTCACCGACACCGCTCAGAGCAATAGAGTAACAGCGCCTATCGTGATAACAATACTGAATATATATACGATGTTAACGATCTTTAGCCTTACGGCTATCATTACAAGATGGGTCTGTACAGCATAACAATTTATCTTAGTACCGTCAGTAACATTATTTAAAAAGTTCTCATGTATTTAGGTTGTGCTGGACGACCAATGCACCTTGTTGCCGATGGTGAAGTAAAGAGCCGCAGCAGCGCCTTCAGAACGCAGATGCCTTTTAGCTTATTTTTCTAAAAGAAGTTGAAGTCATTTCCATCAGAAAACGGGGTCTCGTTGTCTCGGGTATCTCCGCATGGTCCCAGTTCTGATAGATGTATTGTCATGGGAGGCGGTAATTTTTTTTTTTAAATTCAAATACTTCGTCTAAGTACGTTCCCCAGAGTCGAAACGTTTCTTCTGCACCCACCCAATCTACTATATCTTATCCACCATCATTTTCTAAACCTTTTGTACTAGGGGCTGATCGCAGCGGGATGGAGGGG